CTAATCCATTCTTTCCTCTAATCCATTTTTTCCTCTATTCCATTCTTTCCTCTATTCCATTCTTTCCTCTATTCCATTCTTTCCCTTTTTCCTCTATTCCTTTCTTTCCTCTAATCCATTCTTTCCTCTAATCCTTTCTTTCCTCTATTCCTTTTTTCTCTATTCCATTCTTTCCTCTATTCCATTCTTTCCTCTAATCCTTTCCTCTTCCATCTTTCCTAATCCATTCTTTCCTCTATTCCTTTCTTTCCTCTCTAATCCATTCTTTCCCTAATCCATTCTTTCCTCTATTCCATTCTTTCCTCTAATCCTTTCTTTCCTCTAATCCATTTCTTTTCCTCTAATCCATTCTTTCCTCTAATCCATTCTTTCCTCTAATCCATTCTTTCCTCTATTCCATTCTTTCCTCTATTCCATTCTTTCCTCTAATCCATTCTTTCCTTATTCCTTTCTTTCCTCTAATCCATTCTTTCCTCTATTCCTTTTTCCTCTAATCCATTCTTTCCTCTAATCCATTCTTTCCTCTATTCCTTTCTTTCCTCTAATCCATTCTTTCCATTCCATTCTTTCTTCTATTCCATTCTTTCCTCTAATCCATTCTTTCCTTTTATTCCTTTCTTTCCTCTAATCCATTCTTTCCTCTAATCCATTCTTTCCTCTAATCCATTCTTTCCTCTATTCCATTCTTTCCTATTCCTTTCTTTCCTCTATTCCTTTCTTTCCTCTATTCCTTTCTTTCCTCTATTCCTTTCTTTCCTCTAATCCATTCTTTCCTCTATTCCATTCTTTCCTCTATTCCTTTCTTTCCTCTAATCCATTCTTTCCTTCTTTCTTTCTTCTAATCCATTCTTTCCTCTATTCCATTCTTTCCTCTAATCCATTCTTTCCTCTATTCCTTTCTTTTCCTCTATTCTTTTTCTTTCCTCTAATCCATTCTTTCCTCTATTCCATTCTTTCCTCTAATCCTTTCTTTCCTCTAATCCATTCTTTCCTCTATTCCATTCTTTCTTCTAATCCATTCTTTCCTCTATTCCATTCTTTCTTTTCTATTCCTTTCTTTCCTGTAATCCATTCTTTCCTCTAATCCATTCTTTCCTCTCTTTCCTTTTCCTCTCTTCTATTCCCTCTATTCCTTTCTTTCCTCTAATCCATTCTTTCCTCTATTCCATTCTTTCCTCTATTCCTTTCTTTCCTCTATTCTTTTCTTTCCTCTAATCCATTCTTTCCTCTATTCCATTCTTTCCTCTAATCCTTTCTTTCCTCTAATCCATTCTTTCCTCTATTCCTTTCTTTCTTCTATTCCTTTCTTTCCTCTAATCCATTCTTTCCTCTATTCAATTCTTTCCTCTATTCCTTTCTTTCCTCTATTCTTTTCTTTCCTCTAATCCTTTCTTTCCTCTAATCCATTCTTTCCTCTATTCCTTTCTTTCCTCTATTCCTTTCTTTCCTCTAATCCATTCTTTCCTCTATTCCTTTCTTTCCTCTAATCCATTCTTTCCTCTATTCCTTTCTTTCCTCTAATCCATTCTTTCCTCTAATCCATTCTTTCCTCTATTCCTTTCTTTCCTCTATTCCATTCTTTCCTCTAATCCATTCTTTCCTCTAATCCATTCTTTCCCCTAATCCATTCTTTCCTCTATTCCATTCTTTCTTCTATTCCATTCTTTCCTCTAATCCATTCTTTCCCTATTCCTTTTCTTTCCTCTTCCCATTCTTTCCTCTAATCCATTCTTTCCTCTAATCCATTCTTTCCTCTAATCCATTCTTTCTTCTATTCCATTCTTTCCTCTAATCCATTCTTTCCTCTAATCCATTCTTTCCTCTATTCCTTTCTTTCCTCTAATCCATTCTTTCCTCTAATCCATTCTTTCCTCTAATCCATTCTTTCCTCTATTCCATTCTTTCTTCTATTCCATTCTTTCCTCTAATCCATTCTTTCCCCTATTCCATTCTTTCCTCTATTCCTTTCTTTCCTCTAATCCATTCTTTCCTCTAATCCTTTCTTTCCTCTATTCTTTTCTTTCCTCTAATCCATTCTTTCCTCTATTCCATTCTTTCCTCTAATCCTTTCTTTCCTCTAATCCATTCTTTCCTCTAATCCTTTCTTTCCTCTAATCAATTCTTTCCTCTAATCCATTCTTTCCCCTATTCCATTCTTTCCTCTATTCCTTTCTTTCCTCTAATCCATTCTTTCCTCTAATCCTTTCTTTCCTCTAATCAATTCTTTCCTCTAATCCATTCTTTCCTCTATTCCATTCTTTCCTCTATTCCATTCTTTCCTCTAATCCATTCTTTCCTCTATTCCTTTCTTTCCTCTAATCCATTCTTTCCTCTATTCCTTTCTTTCCTCTAATCCATTCTTTCCTCTAATCCATTCTTTCCTCTATTCCTTTCTTTCCTCTAATCCATTCTTTCCTCTATTCCATTCTTTCTTCTATTCCATTCTTTCCTCTAATCCATTCTTTCCTTTATTCCTTTCTTTCCTCTAATCCATTCTTTCCTCTAATCCATTCTTTCCTCTAATCCATTCTTTCCTCTATTCCATTCTTTCCTCTATTCCTTTCTTTCCTCTATTCCTTTCTTTCCTCTAATCCATTCTTTCCTCTATTCTTTTCTTTCCTCTAATCCATTCTTTCCTCTATTCCATTCTTTCCTCTATTCCTTTCCTTCTTCTAATCCATTCTTTCCTCTATTCCTTTCTTTCTTCTAATCCATTCTTTCCTCTATTCCATTCTTTCCTCTAATCCATTCTTTCCTCTATTCCTTTCTTTCCTCTATTCTTTTCTTTCCTCTAATCCATTCTTTCCTCTATTCCATTCTTTCCTCTAATCCTTTCTTTCCTCTAATCCATTCTTTCCTCTATTCCTTTCTTTCTTCTAATCCATTCTTTCCTCTATTCCATTCTTTTCTCTATTCCTTTCTTTCCTGTAATCCATTCTTTCCTCTAATCCATTCTTTTCCTCTCTTCCTTTTTTTTTTTCTATTCCTTTCTTTTCCTCTATTCCTTTCTTTCCTCTAATCCATTCTTTCCTCTATTCCATTCTTTCCTCTATTCCTTTCTTTCCTCTATTCTTTTCTTTCCTCTAATCCATTCTTTCCTCTATTCCATTCTTTCCTCTAATCCTTTCTTTCCTCTAATCCATTCTTTCCTCTATTCCTTTCTTTCTTCTAATCCATTCTTTCCTCTATTCCATTCTTTCCTCTATTCCATTCTTTCCTCTATACCATTCTTTCCTCTATTCCTTTCTTTCCTCTATTCCATTCTTTCCTCTATACCATTCTTTCCTCTAATCCATTCTTTCCTCTATTCCATTCTTTCCTCTATTCGATTCTTTCCTCTATTCCTTTCTTTCCTCTAATCCATTCTTTCATCTATTCCTTTCTTTCCTCTAATCCATTCTTTCCTCTAATCCATTCTTTCCTCTATTCCTTTCTTTCCTCTAATCCATTCTTTCCTCTAATCCATTCTTTCTTCTATTCCATTCTTTCCTCTAATCCATTCTTTACCCTATTCCTTTCTTTCCTCTAATCCATTCTTTCCTCTAATCCATTCTTTCCTCTATTCCTTTCTTTCCTCTAATCCATTCTTTCCTCTATTCCATTCTTTCCTCTATTCCTTTCTTTCCTCTAATCCATTCTTTCCTCTATTCCTTTCTTTCCTCTAATCCATTCTTTCCTCTAATCCATTCTTTCCTCTATTCCTTTCTTTCCTCTAATCCATTCTTTCCTCTATTCCATTCTTTCCTCTATTCCTTTCCTTCCTCTAATCCATTCTTTCCTCTATTCCTTTCTTTCTTCTAATCCATTCTTTCCTCTATTCCATTCTTTCCTCTAATCCATTCTTTCCTCTATTCCTTTCTTTCCTCTATTCTTTTCTTTCCTCTAATCCATTCTTTCTTCTATTCCATTCTTTCCTCTAATCCTTTCTTTCCTCTAATCCATTCTTTCCTCTATTCCTTTCTTTCTTCTAATCCATTCTTTCCTCTATTCCATTCTTTTCTCTATTCCTTTCTTTCCTCTAATCCATTCTTTCCTCTAATCCATTCTTTCCTCTCTTCCTTTTTTTCCTCTATTCCTTTCTTTCCTCTATTCCTTTCTTTCCTCTAATCCATTCTTTCCTCTATTCCATTCTTTCCTCTATTCCTTTCTTTCCTCTATTCTTTTCTTTCCTCTAATCCATTCTTTCCTCTATTCCATTCATTCCTCTAATCCTTTCTTTCCTCTAATCCATTCTTTCCTCTATTCCTTTCTTTCTTCTAATCCATTCTTTCCTCTATTCCATTCTTTCCTCTATACCATTCTTTCCTCTATTCCATTCTTTCCTCTATTCCATTCTTTCCTCTATACCATTCTTTCCTCTAATCCATTCTTTCCTCTATTCGATTCTTTCCTCTATTCCTTTCTTTCCTCTAATCCATTCTTTCATCTATTCCTTTCTTTCCTCTAATCCATTCTTTCCTCTAATCCATTCTTTCCTCTAATCCATTCTTTCCTCTATTCCTTTCTTTCCTCTAATCCATTCTTTCCTCTAATCCATTCTTTCCTCTAATCCATTCTTTACCCTATTCCTTTCTTTCCTCTAATCCATTCTTTCCTCTAATCCATTCTTTCCTCTATTCCTTTCTTTCTTCTAATCCATTCTTTCCTCTATTCCATTCTTTCCTCTAATCCATTCTTTCCTCTATTCCTTTCTTTCCTCTAATCCGTTCTTTCCTCTATTCCTTTCTTTTCCCTAATCGATTCTTTTCATTATTTCTTTCTTTTTCCTGTTTCTTTCTTTTCTCTATTCCTTTCTTTTTCTTTGCCTGAATCATTTGCGTTACTTTCATGAGAGTTTGTGCTGTCAAAAGAAAACTTTTTTATAAACATTTAACATTTTTAGAAGTCTTTCTCTTTTTTTCAATCGCTTTTATAAAATTCACTACACTGTTTGACTAATTTCAGTGTTCTGTTTCTTATTGCATGTATATAACTCTTAATTCCTGCATTTTCACTTTAGAATGCGTACTTTCATTCTTCAAGATTTGCTTCCTAAAGTCATATGCACTATAGCATGAACTGAGTTAACTGTTTGGTACAGTTTTTGAATTGAATTAATGCTGGCCACATATTTCACTAGAATACCCTTCATGTACCCTGGTGCAAATTAATTGAAACAAAATGAATAATTCCGTTATTATTTACTTGTTTTTTTTTTCGTATTTTTCCAATGAAACATGACCAACTGCAATGTTAGTACTTTGTATGTCCATACGAAGTTGTTCCTTGCAGATTGATCACAGATTCTCGAATGGATTTAAATCAAGAGAGTTTCCGGGTCAGTCATATAGCATTTTGATTTGCTCACTGTTAAGGCTTGTCATTGTATTTGTGCAGCGTTACAATTTTCGTACTCTTCCTTGGAGTAACGTCCATCGCAGATAATGACCACAGGACAACTAATCGACAGTTGAGACAATAGTGTCTGGGCGTGATGAAAATTTGATATAATCACTGATGACGTAATTTTTTCAAAGCCAAACAAATTTAATCATACAGCCCACAAATAGATTTATATTACTGCACACCACAGCAAATAACCTAATCGAAGGAAAAAAAAACAGAAATCGATTACACCCTGCCACTCCAGTGGGTCTAAAACTGACCGTATGTTGAAAGAAAGGAAAATAAAGCAGTTGTTTTAAATAATTTCTACAATGTTGCACGATGTACTATGGTACGTATTATATTCGGTTGTCAAGCATGGAATGACGCATATTAGTTGGTTTTTGATCCAGTCGTTGAACGAAGTAACCTGCTTAATATATATATATATATATATATATATATATATATATATATATATATATATATATATAAACAAATCTTGACTTTTTCCCAGTTCCTTTTCTTTTCAGATATTTTTTTTCTTTCAATATATTGTTACTCATAATCCCAATGAAAATGATTACAATGAATCAAAGGTCTAGTAATGTTACTGTACGAATGCAAACAGGGAAAAAGAACCATTTTTGCATCGAATCATTAAATGCGATGAGAAATGGATACACTTTAACAACAGTAAGAGAGTAGGCCAGTGCTTAAATGCAAGTGAATCACCAAAGCAATACCTAAAACCTTCACTGCAAGCTAAAAATTTAATGGTTACTGCATGGTAGTCTTTCAAAGGGGTTATTTATTCTACCCTCAAGGAAAAACAATAACAGCTACTCTGGAGAAATTGAGTGTATGCACAAAAAAATTTAAAAATAAAATCGTAGTTTGTGAATAGGGATGGCCGAATTTTGTTGTAAGACAACGGACAGACACACGCTTCTTAATCATCTATCCAAAAGTTGCAAAGCCTGAAATTATGAAATTTTGTCCCATCCTCCGTATTCACCTGATATATCTTCTACTAATTATCATTTATTTCAGTTTTTATTACTCAATAAAACCTTCTCGAATAAGAAAGATGTAATCGAAACATTTGAACTGTTTAACACGTGAAAGGGTGAGAATTTTTTTTTAAAGATGAGATCAAGAATTTAGAGGTACGTTGGAGAACAGGTGACTATTTCTCACTAAATAAATTAATTTCAGAAACGTTTTATTCATTCCTTATAAAGTTCATCATTTCATGTGCGACATTCTAATATATATCTTTCTTGGTTATAAGTTCTTGATTTTCGTCTAATTTTCATTTCAGTTCTTCAATCTCTAGTCAACCCCTTTTTTTCCTTAGTTTCTGAGTTCCATCCGTTGCGTCTAATCCTCTTTTACCAATTCTTCATTTTCTCTGGATCTATTTCTTATTTTGGATAAGGATTCTTCCTTTTCTTCCTTTTCTACCTTTCTACCAGTTGGTTTTTCATTCATTCATTCATTCATTCATTCTTTCTTTCTTTCTTTTCCTAATTCCTATTTTTCACCGCATTTATCTTTTCTTTTCCTACTTAACTCCATCGTTCCAACATTTTTGTCAGCCATCCATTTTTTTGTTCGTTTCCTTGTCAATTTGTTTTTTACAATTTCCTTGTCTTTCAATTTCCTATTTCCTTCTTTGTCGCTTTCATCTTTCTACTTTTTGGTCTCCTTCTTTCTTATCTCACTTTTGTATTTTCCCTTTTTCTCTCTCTCTCTTTTTGCCACCATCTTTCTATCTCTCTTTTCACTATCCCCTTTTCTCTCTCTCTTTTTTGCGTCCATCTTTCTCTCTTTTCACTTTCCTTTTTCTCTCTCTCTTTTTTGCCTCCTTCTTTCTCTCTCTTTTCACTTTCCCTTTTCTCTCTCTCTTTTTTGCCTCCTTCTTTCTCTCTCTCTTTTCACTTTCCCTTTTCTCTCTCTCTTTTTTGCCTCCATCTTTTTCTCTCTCTTTTCACTTTCCATTTTTCTCTCTCTCTTTTTTGCCTCCATCTTTCTCTCTCTCTTTTCACTTTCCCTTTTTCTCTCTCTCTTCTTTTTGCCTCCATCTTTCTATCTCTCTTTTTCACTTTCTCTTTTTTCTCTCTCTTTTTTGGCCTCCCTCTTTCTATCTCTCTCTCTCTCTTTTCCCCTTTCCTATTCCTCTCTCCTTTTTACCTAACTCCTTCTATCTCTCTTTTTAACTTTCCCCTTTCTCTCTCTCCTTTTTACCTCCGTCTTCCTATTTCTTTTTCAATTTCCCTTTTCTCTCTCTCGTTTTTAAACTTTTCTCTTTCTCTCTCTCCTTTTTGCTCTTTTCTTTCTATCTTCCTCCTTTTCGCTTTCATCCATCTTTTCTCTTTCTATCTGACTGCTTCTCTCCTTTTCTACCCCTTCTCATTATCTCCTTTCTTTCACTTTTTTTGTCTCCATTCCTTTCTTTTTCTTCTTTTTTTTCCCACAATTTTAAACGTATCATTACGGCTGATCTTTCCTTCTTATTTCAATTTTGGATTTTTACTTTTCCTCTCGATTGTGTCTCTTTTAATTTCTCTGTTCATATATTTCTTTTCCGCTTCTCTTTCTCTTTGCCCTTTCCTTTTTGTTTCTGACCCAAGGTCACCACCCTTGACCAGCTCACATTTGCAAATTTTTAACCAAATATTCATCTGACCGATCTTAGGCTTTTCGCTCTATTTCGCCAAAAATGGCGAGGAAATCATTTTTCTCGCCTAGCTTCCCTTTCACCTCTTACAGTTAAATCATTTTGCTGAGATGAATTCTAATTCCATTTGTGGGTAGGCGTAGATGAATACGGTGCAGGGCAGGTGGTTGGAACAAAGGCATATGTGACGGATAAGAGGGGCTGAACATTTGGCCAAATGAGGGACTTCATGGAATTATAGCTGTTGAGGAAAAATATGCTGCAAATGAATGGGTAAAATAAAGGAAAGGTGATCATTTCGGTGTAGATATGTACATTAGGGACAGAAGAGTTACAAGTCTTATTTGCAGAAGTAGAGATAGGTTGATTAAACCGATCGATTAGGATCAGCAAAAGTGCAATCGCAGAGAGAAACAGACGCATAAATGAACCAATTGCCAGTCACACTGAAACATGAAAACCTATCACTAAATTATATAGTCAGTTTCCTTCTTTCTTTGCATGCTTTCTCATCAGGAAGAGCGTTTTAATCTCTCCCCCCTCTGTCTCTCTCTCTCTCTCTCTCTATATATATATATATATATATATATATATATATATATATCGTTTTATCATGTCTTTCTCTCTGTTAATCGAGCTCAACCTGTTCACATCCATCTTTCTATCTCAGTCTGTCCAGGTCTATCTCAGTTTGATGATATCTATCTATCTATCTATCTATCTATCTATCTATCTATCTATCTCTCTCTCTCTCTCTCTCTCTCTATATATATATATATATATATATATATATATATATATATATATATATATATCAGTTTTATCATGTCTTTCTGATCGTCAATTTATCTCAACCTGTTCACATCTATCTATCTCAGTTTGATTATAGCTACCGATCCATTCACTCTCTCTCTCTCTCTCTCTCTCTCTATATATATATATATATATATATATATATATATTCAGTTTTTTTTGTCTGTCAATGTATCTAAGCCTGTTCATCTATCTATCTATCTATCTATCTATCTATCTATCTATCTATCTATCTATCTATCTGTAATCTGTTCATATCTATCTATCTATCTATCTATCTATCTATCTATCTATCTATCTATCTGTAATCTGTTCATATCTATCTATCTATCTATCTATCTATCTATCTATCTATCTATCTATCTATCTGTAATCTATCTATCTATCTATCTATCTATCTATCTATCTATCTATCTATCTATCTATCTGTAATCTGTTCATATCTATCTATCTATCTATCTATCTATTCCATTCTTTTCTATCCCATTCTATTGCGTTCTCTACAGTCTATCATATATTAATGTATTTGCTGAAGCTATGGTAAAGATGCAGTAAGTACGCCTCAGAAATAACCTCCGAAGTTTTAAAAAGGAAATTGATGAAGGACAGAATAGGAAAATCAATGAATTGGAAGAACATTTGAATTAAGATGCTTTATAAATAACTGATTGAATCAGTGAAGCAGTTTGAAGACTGAATTGAAGCCGAATAAACTTTTGAGGCATGATTTCCATCTGTCCTCAAATCAGACGCAACTAACGATAATGGAATCATTCTAACAGCCAAATGTGTACACCCAGCCTAGAGTTGACCCACTACCCAGAATATAACCACAGCCCAGTCTTTACCTCAGGCAAAATGATGTATTAAGCTTAGAGTATAATTCCAACCCAGTGTATACTACAGACAAGAGTATACATTAATCCAGAGTAAACTCCCAGCCCAGTGTATATCGCTAGACCAGAGAGTATGCGTCCAGACAAGCGTATACGCAGCATTATTCTAGGCTGTTTATATATATATATATATATATATATGTAATAAAAAAGGCTTAAACACTAATATTCCATGGTCATAATTTATCTGTAATGTATTAGACATCTGACAACATTCATATATCCCCCTTTCACTCACCTCTAGTTTAAAAAAAAAACCTCTCTGTTAAGTTTTAGTATCCCAGCTTCTCCGTCTATTACCCCTCTCTTTAAAACTAACGTTCGTCCCACACTCTCATACTTACACTCTCTCTAAATTCTATTTCTGGAGTTGTTCTTTTCTTTTTTCTTTTTGAATTTGTAGGTCTGATGAATTGGATCGTATTTACGATTCCAATGGAATAAATTATGACCATGGAATATTAGTGTTTAAGCCTTTTTATTATATCCTTACTCTGCCCTGGACATTGAGTTCTACCTGGATTTTATCCTCTTGGAATTTTTTATTCAAAAAATATACATGTATGTGTATGCACCTATGTATATATATATCTATATATTTTGCATATGTATGTGTATATTTACCACTAATATTATCTATCTATCTATCTATCTATCTATATATATATATATATATATATATATATATATATATATATATATATATGTGTTTGTGTGTGTGTTTGTGTGTGTGTGTGTGCGATGGGTAAATTGTCACCATTTCATATTTTAATTTCGCGCATGCACGTTGTTTGTTTTTGATTTTTCGACTGCACAGTGTGGTAGGGTAAGCTGAGCACTGTATGTGAGAAAAAGAACACCATGCTGCAAATCACTCCGCCAGAAATTTGGAAAACGTAAGCTGTACTGTTCGGCATTCGCGCCGGAAGTTCGAATACGAAGATTTTAGAGAGATTGGATTTCAATCTGTGGACAGCGTAGAGGATTTGGTAAGAAGTAGATGAGTCTAATGGTGATTGCAAAGAATGTTTGGACTGAACGCTAATGATGGCCACGTTATGCTTCCATTCATCTTTCCATAGTGTCTCAAACTCAACATGAATGTCTACATCAAGTCCCTTGAGGAGGTAGTGCTTTAAATTTGAACAGGGGAATGAATCTTAGCGTCTAAGGACGCTAAGATTCATTCCCTTCTTCAAATTTTAAATTATTTAAAATCAAATTTGGGAAAAAAATTCTGTAGGTTGGGTGGTGCCCATCACATCTTCTTGGATAAAAATTAAATATACTTATGCCAGTACCCTGGATAATGTACAGTGCTGTTCGATAATTTTTTTACTAAATGTTCTCTTCTCCAATGAAACGAAAGTTGAGCTTCATTCAAAGGATAAGCGATCTAAAATCTCCTGACCTCAACCCCATAGAAAACTTATAGAGCATTATAAAATACAGGCTCTCGAGAAAGTAGTTGAGCAACAAAGAGGATTTGATTGTAAATTTCATATCCAAATGGAATTCAATGCTTGGAGATGAGATTTGCCAGAACCTAATCAAGTCAATGCCAAAAAGGGTTGAAAAGGTTATTCAAAATAAAGGAGGACCCATAGATTATTAAATATTTCCAACTATATTACCTATTATAAATAAATTATACCTCTATTATTCTTTATTTAAAGCTGTTCGGTTACGTTTCTATTGATTACTAGTTACTAATAAGTGAGTCATTTTTTTTGTTTGTTTTTCCCTAAATCTCATTTATATCCAAAATTATAATTATCAATAGAATACCTTAGGGTGAGTAAACTTTTTTACTAGGTGGTCGGGAAGGGGTCTTTATATTAGTAAGAATAAAAATTAGTTTGACTCCAAAAACAAGTGAAAAAATGTTTACGTAAAAAAATCAGATGAGTCCCTTTTATCGAACAGCACTGTAGTTTCACAATATCTATAATTTTGGCAGAGAGGAACCCAGACGCGGCTATGCCTACGAGCAGACTAATACTGTACCTGAGCCCGCTTTTACGGGGGTTAGTAAATTATGACTAGTGGCCCTGGTGAAAACGCTCATATTCTCCACCTTAGACATGACCTTGTGTCTCTTCTAGTCCGCAGTAAGAAAAATTGTCCTTTTAGTCTAAATGGCAACTTCACTTTACGTGGGATGAAAAGGTATATATATATATATATATATATATATATATATATATATATATATATATATATATATATATATATATATATATATATATATATATATATATTATATTTGTTTGTATTACGGTATATCAAACTCACTCGATTATTTAATGCCTGACAAAAGTTTTATTGCTGTTAATATTTTTTCCAAAATGTATTGCTGGTAACATTTTTTCCTTTAAAAATATATTGCAGGTAATATTCTTTTTCTTCAAAAATGTATCAATGAATATATTTTTTCCTCAGAAAAGTATATCTAGTAATTTGATTTTCTTTCAAAAATTTATTGGCGCTAATATTTTTTCTGAAAAAAATGTACTGCTGGTAATATTTTTCCCTCAAAAATGAACTACTGGTAATATATTTTCCTCAAAAATGTACTGCTGATAATATTTATTTTCTTCAAAAATCTATTGCTGGTAATAATTTTTCATCAAAATTTTATTGCTGGTATTAAAACCTATTTTTACACTTTCATAGTGTTTTGACCCCTGTTTAGTGGGGTTAGCGGCTTGGTGAGAGTAGTCGTGGCTCCAGGGGGCACAGTCCTATGGTTACAGAGAACTCAGTTGAGTTCCGCCACGGAATATGTGAGTCTGATTTGGAATCTCT